TAATGAATAATCTTGTTGAGAAAGAGGCTGCATATCCATATAAAATGTTTTGAATGCGTCAGATATTCGATAGAAGTGATTGGCAAACTACGTGTGTGAAATATCGATTTTCATTACGTGAAAACCTATGTATTACTTATAATCCAATATATGGAAGCATATATGGAATGCATCGATAAGAATAGGTGTATTTTGTATGCCATATATAATATGTATAACTAAAAATATAATAATTTTGTTTACGTGATATAATATTTGACACCTGCTATTTATTTTAATTTTTTTCAAGCAGGAAAGAATTAAAATATATATGTAAATAACGTAATATAATTTTTGCATAAAACACGTATATGTAATGGTGCATACATGTATATGTATACAGCTCTATAAAATTTCTGTAATCTGACCGACATGATGTCGCTTTGTGATGCGAGTGACCGCGACTTTATCGGTTCCTTTTAAGGAACATTTTATGGCGGTATGTTCTCGCATAACGACCACCTACATGCAGCATTGAGCTTACGTGCAAAAAAGTAAAACGACTAGAGAAATGCGCCGGAGCTGACCTAGCAAATCTTTCTCTCTGCGCAAAAATCATCGCGTTTAAATCAAGTCGCGGAACTGTATAGCTTATTAACGCGATCAGGAAATAATTAAGTATCCATTTATAAAACAATAATTATCATAATGTCCACACGCATGATGAAATATTAATGGCAAGAAATTGCCTTTACCTCGACAGTAATTAAAGACAGTTAAATGACTTTTGTTGCTAATGGACGACTTGGACGAATTATCATCGTTAAACTAACGATCGTAAATGAGACATCGTGATTAATATTGATAATCATAGACGAATGGATAGAACGGGTAACATTAATATCAGTGACGCACTGCCAGTGTTGTGTTCAGATGATTTAAAAATTATCTAGATGATTTTTAAATATACCTAGATAAAAGATAAAATTATATGGCGATTTATCTAGATAATTTGCAAATAATACTATTTTTATCGCTTATGTAAACACAATTATAAAAAATTAAATTATAAAAGAGATATAAAAAGATATTTATATTTTTACTTATAAATTTTTATCACTTATTACATAAGTGCTACTACTTAAGTACTTTTATGTACTATGGACTCTAAACCAAATTATCTGAACATTATTCTAGATAATTTAGTAAAGATAAGACGTTTTTTCATGTAAAATGTAGATATAAATAATACATGTTTTTATTATCTATAAAGGTAAGATGACGTCAAAATTTCTAGATGATCATCTACATAATTTTATTTCGACAACAGCAAACACTGCGCACTGCGGACATATACGACGAATAACTGTTTGCAATGACTCCACTATTGCTATTCGGAGTCATCCTCTGTCGAGAGATTGTCACGCGACGTCCGTGTGTTACACGTGTCTTCTCGTAATGAGTAGACGCCCACGTGTTCGCGAGCCGGACGCGCAATGATGGACGCCCAGCTTTTGCAGCACATAGTTAATCTAGTGCGGTTGAGGTCTCTAATGGCGATCCAATTCGCCGCTCATCCTCCGATTAAACTCGATTGTTGTCGAGTCGGTCGTTGACTTCGACGCATAATGCGGCAATTCGATTTTTCCGATCGGCTAATGGACCATGTCGCAGTTCACTATCGTTTTATTAACTTCTCCTTTCACGTACGACTGCATTTTTTCGCATTGATCGTCCTCGTTTGTATTATCCAATCCGCATAGTGATTAAGAAGATTGGACGAACTTTTAAAAGTTTATCATAAAAATCGAGAACAAAATAGACGGTTTCGTGTATTATTTTAACGTGAAATAGACCATGTTTTTTTTAATAAAGATATTACGATGCAGCACGATATACTTGACACCTAACTGGGTTAGGAAACTTTGAAATGCTGACGAAAATATATTAGTTAAATATTTTTTAAATTATGCGCAATATAAGTCCATTAAAATAATCTCGTCAATCGATTCATAAAGTTGCGCTCTACAATTCGAACGATATATATTTTTTTATCGGAATAAACTCTGCAGAGCGTTACATATTATTCGCATATCATTCGCGTATTTCCATCAAAATGAGAAACTATCAACAGCTGCCCATTGAGATTAGTATGTTAATTTTCGAATGTAGGCGTGAAATAACGTTATGTCTGCGATAAGTATGTAATTACTTTGAACAGTTGGATATCGAGAGATCGACAAGTGTGTTCACAAATTAATGCAGAGGTCAAACTGTATAGAAAGATGAATTTATGTCATCCTGTGGGCGAACATTACGTATCCAGCAAAAAATAAAAGCTTGACTAATGATATCCGCGCATCAGTCTGTATCTCCAGTTTTTTTTTTTCGAGCGATGATGAAATCTTATGATCTGATCGATTAAATTTAGCGCACGCCTAGATTTTTACAATCTACTTGCGATGTGTTAGATATTCACTGTAAGAAAGAATAATAAAATAAAATAATACATATTTAGATAAATTTAGATTTTATTTATCATTTTGATGAATCGTGTTTATCATCGCGAAACATCTCGCGAATTAACCAAGTCATTCGTTCATTCAAACGCCGACAATACTGACTTCATGAATGATGTCTTTGAGAGCGTCGAACAAGTCGGGAAGTGGAGAAGTTGTAAATCGTTCGATGGATCTTACAACTCGAAATTAGTGTATGTACCGCACAAAGGCACGCTTCAGGAAAGATAAACTCCAATTTGACAGCGGGCTTATTTCCTATATGGATAGACAAATCTTTAGTCACGAGGATAACCATGTGCGTATATACGTTGCGTTTCCTTGTTGGCCGATGCTTATAAACAGCGTTCGACTTAAGGAACGCGAGATGTTCAGCCTCTGTAACGCATACCGCTATACGTGGTCTTTGAGCTCGTCATGTTGTACGTATGCGCCGTACATAGGAATCTTTACGCAAGGGTTCTTTCTCATGTCCGTTTTTTCTTTTTTTCTTTCTTTTTTTGCGCAAAGTATTACATAAATCTGAGCGGTACAATGGGATAATCGATTTATTCGGACGGCGCTAATGAAGACTTTAGATTGAGACGTTAAGTGGATTCATATAAATCTTTTTAGATTCTTCTTTCAAAAGCGGATGTAATCGTGGTTATAGCAAATCTACGATATGTGACGACTTGAAAAATATCGCGCACATCTTCTGCAATTTACAACTTTATTCATATATATCGACAAATGTCGATAGAGCTCATTGAAAAATTATTAATACATTTTTTCTTTGATATTCATAAAATTATCATTGCTATTTACAATATTTAGGATAGTGCTAACTTGATGTTTAATTTTTTAAAAAAGTTTAAACATTAAATATGGAATGTCTATGTGCGTTAGAAATTAATTGGAGCTACACACGTTTATCTTAAAGAGAATCGACGTTGTTTATCATTCGTTTTATAATTTGATTTAATTATAATAAAAATACTATTAATATAGAAAACTCGAAGGACAGATTTATCGATCAGCGTGTGTTCCCGCGATTTATGAGGATGTCTACTGTGACGTATGTGAGAAGATATTTCGCGCCCACGTGCCACATGCTGATTGCAAGCATCAAGCGCGGTGACAATCTCATCTGTCGATTGCACGCTGAGTTTCACCGGTTTCGCAAACTTGTCGCTCGCCATCATTCGTCTCGCTAGAAATTTCGATAAGAAAGTCTCTCCGAGTGCTGAGTTGCTCTTAATATACCCACGAATCTAAGAAACTCGCGTACGTATCTCGACGCGGTAATATATTACGTTATGGTAATAAGATGAGACGGCTGCGTCTTAAAAGATATCGATGTATCGATGTCGAAGGACGCTAGTAGGTTTGTCCGTGAACATCACGTTGGGTGATTTGTTTTCTTAGATGAGAGGCGCTGACATCAGCATTTTGACATTGGCGGTACGATTAATAATTACGATCTTCGATCTCTCGTTCCTGTCGTTCGAAATATTTGAGATATGTATATATATAGATTTTAACTCTCTTTGACATTGTATTATATTATTTTTATTTTCATGTCAAATACAATTTGCACGAAGGAAGGCATTGTCATATTGTTGAAAAATATTTCTTTTCGTTGAAAAAATATGCAAAAGGCACCTAATTAATTATTGGTGGGTGAGTTGCTAATTGTTTCACCTCCCGAGATGATATAACTCTGGTCTTGTTTAAAAAGTACTACGTGCTAATACTTTGCAAAATACAAAATGATATCCACTTCATCGTGTCGTTTGTAAGCTGATCAGCAGTTCGTGCTCGATATTGGGCTCTTCAGATTTCTTTGTTCCTTAATCATTCGACCTCTTGTATTCTTTTATATAGCTCCCTCATAGAATTAAAGCACGCGATAGTAACAGTAAATGTATATAGACATAGTAATTATTAATCATTACTCCGTTCGCATATAGAGACTCTATATACCTTGTGAAAAAAATATAATTTTCAATTAACAATAAGAGATAATTTTTTTTTACACGTAATTTTATCTTTCTGAATTTATTTTATTTTACACACAATTACTTGATAATAAGCGCTATGATTTCATGATTACTGTGAAGTCATGTATATGCTTTAGCGATATTTAGTGATATTAAAGCGATATTTTTCAAGCTATCTTCAGTCTGTGTCTAAAATTTATAGCTCTGGGGATAACAGTAGACAAGGCACTTAAAGAGGAGCCCTTACTCAACAGAATAAAATCTCATCGTTTCGTCACGGCTTCCCAGAGAAATCGCAAGAGAATTCTTGCGCGCGTAAAAGTGCGAGATAATATATATATATATATATATATATATATATATATATATATATTATGTCTTTATCGTCTTGTGTATTTCAATTTTTCTCTCTTCTTTCTAAGAAAAGCTTCGTAACGCGTCTCATTATCTCGATACCTGTCCAGGTTTCCGAAAACGACGCCATCTCGTGATAACGAAAGATTCCCTTTTTGCTTCTCAGACGCCACTTGATCGCGAGGCGCACGTTCCTGCACGAAGTCGTTCTTAAATAGCCTGGGAACTGTCGAAGAGGGTGAAGTGGGTCCTGGAAGAGGACCCGGGTAGAGCGAGGAGAGAAACTTCGAGGAAGGATCCGACGTGCAACGCCAGGACCCTCCGCAGGACTGACAGCTCCGCGATGTCGTTCACCAGCCGATTCCCGTCCTCCCAGCATACTCGTTATCGCAGTAGCTGGGGCCCAACCTCGGTTTCCGTCTTTAATCGCGCCGATGTGCCGCGACCCTCGCCGGAAGAGGAAGAATTCGAGTTCTACCACGAGCGGCTGCACTCGGCCCAGAGTCGTCAGCTGATCCCGCTTCAGGAAGATCTGGCCGATTGGATCAACAAGACGATAAGTGAGTACACACGTAGTTTTATATTATACAGGATGTCTGACATAAAGTGTCACACCGAGAATATATTAGTAGATCTCGTTACGTGGAAACAATTTTTCCTCAGCAAAAATGTCGTGGGAGGTCATCATTTTTTGCATGTTCCCAATTTTTATCATCATGTATCTTTATAACTAAATCTTAAATTAAAATTTTATTTAAAATATAGGTACTCTACTTGAAATTAATGGGAGAATATGGTTTTGTTAATATTTTATTTCCACAAGGTTCATTTTCGATTGCTTATAACACGAAACTTATTATGCTTCAATATTTTTGCTGAGGAAAAATTGTCTCCAAATAACAAGATCTACTTGTATATTTTCAGTGTGACGCCTTATGTCAGACACATATGTATATATTATGAGGCAAAAGCGTATCTCTGTGAGATGAGTATCGATTGGCAAGAAATTTTTACTTGAACGAATTCGTGACATCGTCAAGGTCGGCGAGTATCGTTTCGTGAGAAGTTTCGATAACCGTTAGATATTAGTTTCGCTGATTTATGAGGAAAGTCGATAGCTTTTGCCAATCTATAGTCTGCGAGCTGGCAGGTTAAAGTCGGAGTATGAGTCAGAGTGTATTCTAGATCGAGCTTTTCAATAGAATGCGAACTTCAGCCCCTCCCATCAATTGCTTCTTCTAAATTAATGGTTTCGCATTTGCAATTTTGCAGTTTCGATTTTGTCCGTATCACGCGAACTTTTCCGTGACAAAGCAGTGTAGTTGCGTGTTATCTGAGATATTATTTTCATGCAAAGTTATCAAGAGCTCGACTTTTGTAATCACTATTATTCGAGAAAACCGTGACAAGCATTCTCCGGCAATTTTAAATATTAACGTTGAATGTATCAACAATTGCGCACATTTAAAAGAGAGTAATGAGATTTTTAATGTATTTATATTCTCTCGTAGATATTTATTTTTTATTCTATTTTTTCAAACATTTATTCAAGTTCTTAATATTTTAAAAAATTAAATGAAGAGCGAGGGAACATTACGTGAAGCACATTGGAATTTTAATCTTGCTATACTTTTTCCATTTAAATCTCGATCGTGAGTAAGGTGCAAAAAGAAACCAACGTGGCGTAATGTCGTGTTACGATTGCACTTTCGCGCCATCCTTGGCCATACACCTTTTTTCGCATTGCTAATGTAAAGTTTCTTTAAAGAGTGCCGGCCTATGTCGTATCACGGGATGTAGCGTGCGTGTGCAAGCCTTGGATATGTAAGAACCGCACAAAAGTTAGCATCTGGCACGACGTGGGAAAGGATATTCATATATATAATATTTCGTTTTATTTCATCGCGTGTTGATCGAACGGCTGTGCAAAAATGTGTACGCCATATGCCTAAAATTTAGCGAAACTTACATCTGCGAAGAAAAAAATGTTTTCAAGGCCAAATATATTGCTTTGCAAAAAATTTCATTACTCTACAAATCCATTTGACAAGTCACGTAAAGGATATTACACCATGATCTCGAGAATAATTATGTGAAAGGGAGAGATGGGATTAATAACCAGTTATTAACTTCTTTCATTGTGCGTATTAAAGAAAGAGATGCCGAGATAAGGATTTTAATAGGACGCATTTTATTGATATTAAACTTGAGAAATTCAAAGTAGATGAAAATTCCTGCAATTCTCATTAGATTACACGTGAAGACTGTTCGAATTGCAGTCCCGAAATGAATTCACCAAGTTATGCCATAAAAGTTTCCTTCCAAAGCTATTTAATCGAAGAATTATTGACAGTTAATCCTTCAGTTTTAGTTGTTCACAACTGAAACTTGTTAGTCAGCGGCTGCAGTTTCAGCCTTGAAAGTAAAATTAATCATTTTCACTAGTAATATAATAATGCATTTTTTTAAATAAAATATATTTTATATTTATTTGTAATGTAATATGTATTATTATAATATGTAAAATGCTGCATAATAATGCATTTTATAATACGTTCTATTATTATATAAATTATCAGATAATAATTGCGCGAATACATCATATATTTTTTAAATTATACATTTTATTTAAAAGTAAGTTTGTCTGACAATGTAAAAAATATTTAATCGTCATTTAGTGCAACGCGAAAGAAAAGTTAAATGACGAAAAGAGCAGTAGTCCGTGATTTTTTTTCTACGAGGAACTGGAAATCACATCCGATGGCTATCTAATTCTAGGCGCGCATGTGACCGCCTTTCTGAACTGCTAGTTTCCTAATACGGTACGAATACGAGTTGATGCGTAAAATAGAACTGCTACGGTGTACTGAGCGTCGCAGAAAGTAGCAATTCTAACGCTAAGCGGTGTTTCACGTAACAAACATTCGTAGACGCAGGCTTTTCACTGAACTACCATCGATTCTCGGCTCTGACTTTACACTTTTCACGAATAATATTGCAAATTGTCGGGTATATATCTCTCGCAAGACTCGGCCTTGATACTGAAACGCTCGATAAATCATTAATTCCTCTTATATCGTATATTCGATAATTGAATTGCACATTGTGAGTAAAAAAAATTTATAATAAAAACACTTCTTGGATTATTCGTTTCTACATAATTTGATTCACTTGCGATTGCCACTTTGCGATACTTTCACCTCTGATTGCACGTTGCTTCGTGTATATGCGATTAAGCGTATCGATGATCAAGGAAAACGCTGCATAAGCTTGAATATAAAATATATATAGTTTGGCAAAAAACAGAATGTGCGAAAACGAGTGTGGGGTCTCTCACATGCGACCTCGAATAATCCAAGTCCGAGATGTGGACCACCCTGAGAGGTTGCGAGATGCGGGAAAAACGAACGATAGGTAAACGAACATCCAGTATACATATATTTAGCCGCAATAAAAGGATAAGATGATGCACGAGTATGATTTACGAAATTAGCTTACATTATGTCGCTTAAAATATATCGATCTTTGAGCGCCAAAGGCACTCAGCGATATTAAATTAAACGATACGAGTAACGTTTATAATAATTTTAATTTATTAAACGAATCCGCGAAAGCTGATAATTAAATGCAGCTTCGACGATAACTTCGGGATTTTCAGCTGAATGGACGACAATGAAAATGTTGGCTTTATTTATTCGCTCGAACACGAATACGAGTGTTAGTGGTGTGTAAAGAATATACGAGGGATGTTTTATTGTGCACCGAAGGTGCGTGAAGAAACCATTCTTCCGCGCATTATGCGCACGTAATGTATGCGCTGCAATTTTGCAAATTGTTTTCCTTTTCTTTAGCTGGTGTATAATTTTGGAGTTAAAACTCGAGAGAACTTTCCCTTAACCAGAATATGAATGTATGTATATATTTGTATGTATAATCCATAATCGAATATCGATTATTCGCATCTCGAGCGTGCGAATTTGACAGCTGAAAATTGAGTCATAAATATTTTTCCCTTTTTATAAATATCGTTAACAAAGGAAAATTTAATCATTTTTGTTACTAATTGTAAGTCATTTGCGTGTTGTTTTATTGTAGCCAATCAAACGTTTAGCATAGTTTTGAAAGAGATACTTCTAACGAGGCGTGACATATCGTAAAGGAAAAAAAGACATATAATGAGTTTCGAAAGACGTTGGGGAAGGTTGAAATTTGCTCGATCGTCCCTAACGTGCCGTAAATGTGTTTGCTCATCCGATCATTTGTTTGACGAACAGATTTCCTCGCGCAAGTGTTTTTTTTTTCAATCAATCCAGGAAAATTAGAATTTGAAAATAAGCGATTTATCAAAAAAGATACATTTTTAATAACATTAAAAAATATACATGACCGAATTTATATATACATATCGATTCATATGAATACCTGATATAAATCAAATTAAGATTGAAGGTTCGATGTAATCTTATTGCAACTTACATTCATATATCTATAGCAGTGACGTACGAGTTCTTTCTAAGCGGCTTATATAAAACGAAGAGACACAGACGAAGAGGAGAAACTTCTTTCATTGAAGCTTCTCATTGAAATTCAAAGGTTGCCGAAGCATGATTGGAAGCGACGTGAAAAAAATAAAATAAAACGACGGTCTTTCGTTACCCACGCGCGCCCTGCGCCTCCTGGCAAAGGCTCACAACAGTGACTCAACCGGAAGTCAGCCGGGGCACCCCTCTTCCTTCATGCCACTTCTTCTCTGCTCCCTTCATCACGGGGCACCCAAAGCCGCATTACGCATAATGGGCGTACGCCTTCCTAATACGCGTTTGCGCATCCACGAGGATCGGCAAACGATATCTATCGTCTCGATATCTCGCATCTTTTCAAGAGTGCATAACGTGCAATATTGCACGTGGCACGCGCTCAACCGGCCGCAAATCAGAAAGCGAAACCTCCGGATCGCATCGCGCTAATTTATCGTCCCCGATTATTTCCGTCGATATAAAGGCGTCCGATATATGTATACAGAGGCGAACCCGACGTTTCACGGTGTTATGGACTCGCTCGACTTTATCGTGGGATCCGGATTGCGATATGCACCGTTTATATAGGGGCATGCTTCCGAGCAAATCGTGATCGGGCTTCGTGCCGTTTTATCTCGCCGCTGCCATAATATTGCGTAGCAAAATGGTTTAAAAATAGTTCCGCTGTATTCCCGCTATGAACTATGACACGAGTGAACGGGGATATATATATGTGTAATTTGTATACATATACGTAATCAAAGCACGTTTCCCTCGAGAACAGTTGGAAAAGAAAACGTGAGAACGTCGCCCTTAAGAGAGACCAGTTCGGCATTAAAATGAAATGACAGTGCCCATCAAGGTTTAACGAAAATACGGGTCATGGTTCACGATAATAATGCGTGAAGCCTCGGGTGTGGAGCAATCGCGTGCGAGGATGAAGGGCCGGATGTCAGTACCAATAAAAGTCGAGGGAAGTCCTTCCTTTCGCCGCGACGTCGTCGGCTGTAAACTCGTCGCGAAATTTATGCGCGGCCCCAGCAGAGGTTGGACCGTATATCTTTATTCGAGCCACAGATGCAATCTTATGTATATACAATATATCTTATATACGTATCTTATGTATATATGTGTACTTGTTCGAAATCCAATATGATCGATAACCGTGGAGCCGTCATCCAGCGAATTGATGTGCCGGAAAATCATATATTTAAGGATGTCTCAGGATAAGGCTGTAAAATTTAAAATAGAAAAAGAGGATTGAAAAATAATTTGACACATTTGTTTATTTTTGAAAAACAAAAAATTCACCAATATTAAGTGTCATAAAATTATTTTTTAATTTCTCCATATATTGATTTTGCTCCTCTATATTTATTTTGAGAAACTTGAAAATGATTTTCTTATGCCTAATATTAATCAAAAACGCATTCGCGAACTCATCCTTACCTATCAATTTTTAATTCTCATAAGTTTCTCTGGTTCCCATTTTACAAAAATTCGGTTCGTTACTTACAAGTACAAGGTCTTGAGAGAATTCTCATTTTATATTATCATCGCACTTAAATAGCGTGAATGACAAAGGAAAGTGTAAGTCGGACAGTTCTTGTTACAATATCGATGAAAACTGTCTCATATTGGAGCACACAATGATCTGTCGATCGATTAGCTATTGTGTAAATGGAGTTTATTATCCCGCAACGCGAAACAAACGATTCTGCTATATACGAGTGCATTCGAGATATCGTCGAAGCTACATTTTATCACATAACTTCTACGGTTTAGATATTCGAGGAGACTTTCCCTGACAACGAGATACCGCGTCGTTTCCTCGATTTCATATGCGTGCCATTCACACGTTGCACCGCATTCTTATGGCTATTGACCTCGTGGTGAATCCCCGTTCGGGCGACGCCTTGGAAAACGATGTTCTAAAGTTGTGTCGCAGCCAGGCAACGACATAATGCCACGAACATGTATCTCAGCTCGGTGACGGGAAACATGGTCGCTTTACGTAGTTCCGGGTGACCGAGTTCCCGCACGGCGGGAACTCTTCGCGCGTCCGTGCACGTGCTCGAGAGTTCCGAGTCTCGATCTATAATTTTTTACCAATAAAGAAATATTTTCCAAAGTCGGAACAATCCATTCAATCGATTCATTTCATTCAAAAATACATGAAACAATAATTCAGTAAAATCCAGATTATACGATCAAATCAATAATTTTTTACCAATAAAGAATTATTTTCCAAGTTAAAACAATTCATTCAAAAATTTGTGAAACAATTAATTGAGTCAAATTCAGATTATATACGATCAAATAAATACATGTTTTACCAATAAAGAATTATTTTCCAGTCGAAGTAATTCCATTTAATCCATTCAAAAATCTATAAAATAATAATTGACTAAAATCCAGATTATATACTATATATCAAATAAGAAAAGAATAGGACTACATGATATTTTGCATGCGCATTAATTGTTTACAATATTTAAATAATTATAATACATAAAACAGAAAGAAAGAGACAATATGTGTGAGTCTTTATCAAAAATTGTATATATTTGTCAAATTATTTTTTACGGAGAATCCTGCGATGCATTTGCAATCCCGATGCACGTGGTCGGTGTGCCACGTGATGGATTCTGTGCCACGGACCCGCGTTCTTTTTGTTGTGCCCCCGGTGCCCTATTGTTACCAGATCGAGTCACGAGCCCGCGTTCGCGGGTTCTCATTACCATCTATATCTACGAAACACTATCGCTGCGCCGGAGCCCAACCTAGTTCCTATTTCCCATCGTGCCCGTTTTATATCTATATAGATGTCTGTGGAATCGTGTCGCGAGACCACTCTGCGAGTTTTCCTTTAGATCTGTCCATCGATCGGTGACTCTCCACATTGCGAGAGAAACTAAACCAGAGATACTGATATCGGGGTTAATTGATGGGTCTTTAAATGGGACATTACATCTGGATTCTTATATCATATGTTCCTTTTTTACGTGTATATATGTATAGTGAAATACAACTGTTTTTTTAAGTATGATTGCATAATCTAAATGTTATTCTTAATAGTGCATAATTGGACGCAGTTATGCAATATGCAAAATCTCAAAATAAAAAAATTGGTGATTCCACATTGCATAACTGCGTTCAATTATTTTATCTCTCTAGTTATGAAAAGTTTAAACGTTTCTCCGAATATAATTGATATGTTCCACTTTGCGATATCTCCGATAACTGTACAATTTTCTATAAAATATTCACATTCTTCATGTTAAAAAATTCCGAATTATAAATGCACGACGAGTAATAAAAATAAATCACATATATATATGCGCACGCATGACACGGGAAGACGAAGAGGTAAAAATTGCAAAGTGTATATTCCGAGAAAGGAAAGATTTACTTATAATTTGAATCCTGCTTACATATCCGGTGAAATTCAATTGCTCTTAGTCTTCGGCACGATAGATATATAATCTTTCACATGATAGCTATATAATCAGACAACGATCGTATTATTACATTCGTTTATACCCCGAAGGCGGGAGATAACGGATCGAAAACAGGAGGTGATAATAGATAACGGCTGATGGTGAGCGCAAATCGGCTCGCTCTATCATTTGCCGTGTGCCTGCATTCACGCATGAACTAGCTAAGAAATAATGAATGAGAAAGAGACGGTAATAAATAACGCAGACAGTAATAGACCCGGATTAACGTATATGATTAACGAACGTGTTAAGCTGGAGAATGGAAGAATAGAAATACAAGTGCCCTTACAGAGAAAATTAGATAATTTGTTAAGACAAATGAAGGTTCTTGTTAGAATCTGTTTTGAAAGACATATGATAGATATGAAGAAAAGAGGATAAATGATAGAAACGATAATTAATAACAGCTAATTATTATGAACAAAGATAGATTAATGCTCGTAATCAATGTTGAATAAAGAGAGTTGAAAATCAAGATTTCTTTAAATAAAAGATTAGATAGTTTATTTAACTTAAGGACAAATAACAGAACATTTCTGTTAGAGTCTGTGTCGGAGCAAAAAGATTAGTCAGTTCATTCCCAGGGAAAGTCAGAATAAATTAAATATCTGTTAAGAGATCTTGTCTCTTTTCATTCGAAATGAACATTGGAAAGTCCGTATTATTTGGAAAAGTGGAACGTGTGTCCTTGATCTGCCAGTATTTACGTCAATGAACGAAACTAAAATGATTTTACAGTCACGCATTACTCGATCTATCGTGAGAGTATCGGGACCTGACTGCTTCTCGCTTGACCCGTCGTGTCAGATCGACGTTCTTGATGCGCGACTTTCAAAGTGTCACCTTTTTTTCCGGAAGTCGTGAGACGTGACAAAAGTCGGGATCAGAATCCGTGCAAAAAATGGATCAGCCTAACAGCTCCGATCTTATTGTCTTTCCCTGTCTCGTCGGTCTTGTTTGCGATTGCCGATTTTAAACGCGTCGGCCTTGAGCATCGCATGCCACTGATTTATCGAGCGATTACTCCGACGTAAAAATTGGTTTCTTTAAACAGGCTTCTCTTCGGCCGATTAAACCGGCTGGGCCGATCGACATCTGATGCGGAGAATCATCCTTGCGTATACACACTTGCGTACTATAATTACGCTGCTTATCGATTGTCTGGTGGTTTTTTGCAAATTTGCAAAAAAAATTTCAACTACCGGACGCACATAATTCTAGTTTTATAAACTACGACTTGTTTATTATACAATACAGAATAAAATCAATGCATCGAAATTATAACGATCAAGAAAACGAACGAGGTACAAAGTATAATAATTTGTAACAGTTTGATAGAGGCTGAACGATGGATTATTATTAAGCTTGAACGCAATGGATTATTCTTCTCGTTATAATGTACCACTTTACAGAGCCACTTGAGTGTGTCATTGAAACTATACTCGGAGTTTATGTCGAGAGATATACAAGTATGTTATGTATATGTGCGTGCGTGTGAGGATTATTGCAGATATGGCGAGAGAAAGAGAAGTGGACTTAATTCTGCAATTTTCGAATTTCAGATGTGGATTATATAACGGGTGAAAATTTCTTCGATGTACTCGATAATGGCGTGCTTGTCTGTCGACTGGCAAGGGTTATCCAGGAAAAAGCGAGATCCGCGATAGAAGCTGGACGAGTTAAAGGAGTAAGTCATACTTTTATATTTTTGCATAAAAAATAATGTGCTTCGTAATAAACAAAATTTCTTTCTTCGATATTATTTTATATGTAATATTTATAGCGAATTCGATTGCCACCAGTGCGCACTGAGTGCATATAAAGGTTTATCACACATAAGTTCACAATGACACAAGTAATTAAAAAAGGAAAATAATTAATAGTAAGAGGTATTATTATTGTTGTTCAATATGAATAATGATAATAATAGTTTTTACTATTAATTATTTTCCTTTTTAATTACTTATGTCATTATGAATTTGTGTGTGATAAACCTGTATATGGACTCAGTGCGCACTGATGCATCTAATCGAATTCGCTATTAAATATCCTTAAAAATATGTAATGTATCCTCAGAATTTTGTGATTGGAGAAAATATGTTGTTTCAATATAATAATTTAATTAAAAAATTAAATATATAATAAATAATAAAAATTCTTTCTATTCCTGCGAAAACACAAAAAAATATTGTTGCAGACGATACCGGCGATACGTGGTCGTTGTTGGGAAAATGCGGCGCGTCGCAGCTTCTTCTCCCGCGACAATATGGAGAATTTCATACAATTCTGCCGGCGGCTGGGCGTCCACGAGAATCTCCTCTTCGAAAGTGACGATCTCGGTAAAGCTCAGCGCGATTAATTTTAATGCATGCGAATTAAGTAGAGAGACCCTGCCGCCCATCGCTGCTGTTTATCCTATCGGACGACTTTCAACGAGACGGGATTTAAGTATGCGTGCCCGCTTTTAAGTTGATGGATGGTAATTAGGAAAAACACTGTAATCGACTCGGGTAATCCTGGCGGTGGACGTGCCTGTCGTATAAATTATGATCCAAGAGGTATGCAAATCCGGAGCGGTCGCGAAGCGAGAGTAACTGCGATTGCCCGCGACTTTGAGGAAAGTGGAGCGAAACCATACGGCTCTATGAAGATCAAAGCGCTTTCTCACTTGACCAACTTTAATTGTCATTGAAAACAATGCAGTTACATAAATGTTACGTAACGGCGTCATTCAGTCAGAAGATCGACTTTTAAACAAAAGCTCGCGCGTCCTATATTACGTATTATTGCAGGAACACGTTGACCTGAATACAACAGTCAACAATATTCGGCTAATAATGTGACTGTATAGATGATAAATAATTATTAATAATTTAAAGCTTGTCGTTTTATATTTTTGCGGCTATAGAATGTATAGGTGATAAGTAGGATTTAATCTTTCTCTCTCTACAGTTTTACACGGTCAACCACGGAATGTAGTGCTGTGTTTACTGGAAGTCGCACGATTGGCGGCTAGATACTCTCTGGAACCACCTGGACTTGTGCAACTAGAGAGGGAAATTGCGGCGGAACAAGAAAGGGATCTTCACTGTATGTCGGACAGTGGTATATCTCATAGCAGCCTCTCCTGGCAACTTCAATCGCCGTCACCGACCTCGACGCCCAGACCGCCGGAGATGATTAAACACAGCAGGTAAACAAGCCGTATATATTTATTCCAGGTCCATATATAGTCGAGATTTTCGAACATCAGATCGCTTAATCATTCTAACACGCAATCTCTCGATCTTGCGGACTGATTCTATACGTATCTATATCTGCTACGCGTTGCGTACATCAACGTAACGGTCGAGCAAGCGATGATGATTGCGGGAAGAAACCGAAACTAAACCGTTACGGCATGTATAAGTTATTCGCTCGCATAATTCTCTGTTTCGCTTACGCGCACCGCATTTCGAACGACACGTCCAAGACGTTTCGAGATATATATATATATATATATATATATATATATATGTATATATATATGTATGTATATTCCGTTTCGTTTACGACAATAGACTTCTCCGTCAAGTTAACAACCTGTGTCTGAATGGGCAATTTTGCGAGGTGTTACCGAGATGAAGACCTCGTATTCGCGTTTCCGTAGGAGTGGCTGAATTTTATAGTATGCAAAACTTTTACGATACCAAAAATGTCAAAAGTATTACACGACAAGCTGAATAATCGCAAGTAATATTCATTCTGTTGTGAATTGTTTAGATAAAATTTATTTTCCAGTCTGACCATTTTAATTATATTTTATTGTAGATGTGATTGCAAATAATTTTATAATTTATTTCTTACTGGAAATTAATACAAAAATATCAACTATCGATATTTTAACAAGCCTGATCATGAAATACACTCCTCATAATAATTAAGGAATCAAGAAAAATTTTCTAAAAAATAGGCAAATTTTAAATACCTTTGTTTTAAAAAATGATATTTTAAATTTTAAAAAAGAATTTTAAAGCTTGAAATCTCTATATACTTTCAAAGGTCGCAACTGTTTTTCATTTTCTTCAACTTTGATATTTTTTTACATACCGAAAACGATGAACTTAACAAAATGGAAAATTTTCTTCTCACTTTGTAGATGTGTCGCATGCACAATAAGATTTGAAAAATTTCTTTGATATTTTTGCATCAAAGTCTGAAGTCTTCCCTGTAAAATCGTTTTTTTAAATTTCAATTTCAATTTTTCCTTATCAAGTTATCGAGAATTGAAGAGAAAATGGTCATTTTTACTTTGATTATTTATAACTGCGTTAAAAATCATCGTACAGCAAATTTAAAAGTAGATTCTTAAAGCTGAATCTTTGCTCTATAGATCCATGAACGATCAAAGTTAAAATGACCATTTTCTCTTCGCTAACTTGATAAGGAAAAATCGGAATTATAAAACGATTTTGCAGAGAAGACTTCAAGCTTTAACGCAAAGATGTCAGAGTTTTTCTTCTGAAAATAGAGCTTTAAAATATTTTTTAAAATTCAAGTTTTCATTTATAAAACATAGTTAGAGCTATTTAAAATTTGTCTATTTTTTAGATAATTTTTCTCGATCCCCTAATTATTGTGAGAAGTGTATATTATTTCTCATCTCATTAATTTTTTTTATGTAATTTCTCTCTGTCTCCCAAATTGTGTGTGATAATATAATACTCAAATTATTGGAATTTTCATAAAATTCAAAAAAGATGCGCGTTTTTGAACATTGCTGATTCGGAGAATTGGAATTAGATTTGACGAAAGCAAGAGTTGAATTTTCGATCATGTCTTCTAGCTCGGCGTCCGAAGTCGCGACTACGGCTACACGATGGTTGGATCCGGTGACCGATGCTACCCACGAACCTGAAATGCGAAGGTCTGTTAGCGACAACGGCCCGACTGGAAGTGACGGCGTGCCGAGCGACACTACCGAGGACGACTGGTCCCGCGGTAGCGCCGAGGACCCTGACGAAGTGCCGTCGCCGTCGAGTTCGCCATCGCCTTCACCAGCCGAGCCGCCGGAACACACTGGTCCAATAACAGAACTCGATCGCAAGGTATCGCAAGCAAAATGTCCCACTTTCACATCAAGTTTCAATAGAGCAGTTACAATTGAGAATTTCATGTTCAATCCGAACTACGACTCTCTCTCTGTGTTTTCTCCGTTCAATGATATGATATTATCTTATCATCATGACGGTGTATATCGCGTTATACCTATAATAATTTCCAATGAGAGTATCACGAGTAAAAAAAAAGATCAATAATTTCCTCCGAGAATAATAAAATGTTTCAAAAGAATTAAAGCGAAATTATGCAATGCAAAGATGTTGCTTCCTTTGGAAGAGAAGAGAAATGTATACGCGGGAAAAATTGAATAATTTATAAATGTTAATGCTACTGTTACTTCGCTTCCTTATTAATGCTAATGTTACTTCGCTACGTCCTCTACACACGTTGTTTCACTTATATCTTCTCGTGCGTGTCGTTGAGAAAATCCTGGGTCCTACGGGTTGTTACAGTCCCGTCTCGGGCTGCATTATAATTATTGTACAGAGGAAGGTATGAAGGAAGAGGAAGGATGGGAGAGAATCGAGCACGTTTTCCACGCACGCGTGTCAGAGATACCTGCATGCCTGACGGCGGAAGTTCCATCGCGTATATCTTCTCTTCGCTCCTCGCTTCGACGACACGTCGAAGCGATTTATCTCGCGTGACATGATCGATCGTTCTTCGTCCATCCTGGACAACAACAAAGGCGGCGGTCTGATGGACAAAAACGACCGTCTAAATATACGACTCCGCATCCTTCCGTTTCAAGTGCGGTATCTTTGACAGCGTCTTCTTATTCTTCTTTTTTTCTGTCTACAGGTGCGAAGAGCTACCGAGGCCGTCCAGAGACTCTGCCAGTGTCCGTCAGAAAAATGCTCCAAATTGAAAGTGCGCAAGGTCGGCGAAGGCCGCTACCACATTGCGGGACGCAACGTCTTCATCAGGGTACGTATGCACCTTTTGACACTTTATGTAAATTATCAAACTTTATAATTTTATATTAAATTTTATATTATTTTTTTTATTATCCCCAACAGCACCACATATCCGAAGGATGTTCAGAGGATATGTGTACTGTTAGGGTATTATATCATATTTTTATATATTAAATTTTATATTATTTTTATATTATCCCTAACAGCACCATATATCCGAAGGACGAACATCCTTGAATGTTCTCCGTATGTCCTTTGGATATTCTTTGGAAATTTTATATTACTTTTTATATTATATTATTTTACATGATAAATATTATTAATTACCAAAAAATGAAGATTAAATACTATCAACAATAATTTTAAAGCCAAGTTATCTTCATTCAAAGTTTCGAGCTGTACTTTCTGTTGTTATTTAAAAGTTGTATTCCGAAAGAAATCTCGAGATATCTCTTCTTTGATTTTTTATTCGTGACACATCGCGATGATCCTATATGTAAACCTGTCAACCGTTAACGAACGACGTGTTCGCAGCTTCTCAAGGGAAGACACATGATGGTGAGAGTGGGCGGCGGGTGGGATACCCTGGAACACTTCCTGGCGAGGCACGACCCCTGTCAGGTGAGGGTTCTTAACCGCGAGAGCACGCCGCCTCCCGCTCGCGGCATCAAGCACGACAGCTTCCTGCACATTCGGGCCAAGTATCGCAGCCCGCCGTTGGAGCCTATGAGCCTCTCACGTCGGTCGCTGGCCTAAGAGCACGTACTTGCCTAATCATGCGATCACGCAACCCCTTCGGGCTCTGCTCGCGCACACATATGCGAAATTGATATCGTGTGGTTTTCGGCGCACAGCTAAATCGCATCCACGTTTCGTCGCGCACATGCGTCTACTTATAAGAGAGCACTAGATATATTCTCAACTAGATGAACACGTCGATCAATCGGCGTGTTAAATGACGCGACGAAACGTGGATGGCTCGTGTGTTACCGGTAATAAGGACGGTAATTCACGTTGATTTTCGCGCGCACGATACATTCCTTTTTTCCCAACAAACGCTCGATGAGGGAAAAGAAAGACCGTCTGAAGAGACTTGCGGTTTTATTCTCATGCACATTCCTATATATTTATCTATGCAATTTGCTAGGTATCTTTGCAGAACCAAATCTCTCTTCACCGGTACGCATCGTCGATATCCTCGATCTCCTCGACTTTACTGTATATCTTCAATTATGCCAAGTGCATATATATTTGTCACGTACGTGTTCTATGTAGGTCACGGTGTAAGAACGCACATGGATCGCACTATTTTCACTTACATCGTATCAGGTGATTGAAGAAAAACGTGTTGAAGTATATTTTCATTGAAGTATATATACTTCGCGATGCGATACGCTGCCGATTTTCCAAGAGAAGCAGTTTACGAATAGTCAAAGTTTTGTATGCTAGATTGTACCTCTATAACTTGGGAAACTTTGACTACTCGGTATTTATCAACGAATATATAACACTATATGTGCTTCCATCTTTTATGGTATGAATCACTTCTCTTCAGGTACTAACATAATTAGCGTCTATTCTTCGAAATACTTCGGCGGAATCTATAGGAAGTATACTGCACTCGGTAATAATAATAGTGTTAAGAATGCAATGACCAAATTTTATTTTTAGAACTATGTCATGTCACGATGTAATCATTATAATAAAAATAATAATAATAGCGATTTGAATAAATATCATCCATTTAAGCTCAAACATTGTACTCTTGTACGTGCAATAAAAAAAATAAAAAAATAAAAGTGCAATTAAAATCTCAGGTAGAAAATCGTCTGTATAAACGTATCATGCCTTAAAAGAGATTGATAAATCTTTTTTCTTTTCAACTTTCTTTTTGCAATACAAAATTACAGAATTTTTTTCCAACTAATTATACAATTTTAATATGAAATTCGTATTACTGTAGTTGTAACTTTTTTATTATTAATACTATAACGTATCAACTTTCAACTTTGTTTGGTCATTGCTCTATAGAAATATATTCTTATAATGCACTGTCATATTTTGCGACGAGCACGCAATCAGGCACTTATACGTAATAATCACAGAGTCGGCTTAATTGTTTGCATTATTTCCAAATAGATCAATATTTTCAATATTTATATTTATAAGAAAAAAATTCTTATTATAAAATATATATATTTTAAATTCGATAAGTGAATTTTATTTGTACGCGTAAATCAATATTTTGAAAAAAATGTATATTTATTTACATATATATATATATATATATATATTTATTAACAAAAGATAACATATTTACATTTTAATACTTAAAATGTAAATGTAAAATGTAAATTTTGTCAAGCCTTTTTTGTTTTTAAATTTCGCTTATAATCAACTTGCGATTTTCATTTTAGCCGACTCTAAAATTTATTGACACACTTTAGCATTGGATTAATATATAATACAATTGTATCGCCTAACGTGTAAAATGCTTCACGATAATTGCCTGATACACATATATATGTTTTGTACTTTTATATAAATATCTAAATAATAAAGTATAAGGAATATATATATATATATATATATATATATATATATATATATATATATATATATACATATCGGCATATTGCCGAATTAATTAAACAATAATAATTATTCCACTTACAGAAGTGCAAGAGCACAGTATGCAAAGGAATACCAAAGCAGAGAAACGCACGACGAGTAATGTCAGCTCGTTGAAGTTAATTAAGTTGTCATCTGTAATTTGTTTATCGGTTATTCCGAAAGATTGTAATTGTGTTACACGGATCGATTTTATGAATTATACTTAATAATTTCACTACATTTAATTATCCTTTGCGAAGCAGAATCAGTGTTAAATTGCGATTTGCACTGTAAAATACAATAATAAGCTTTAGATTTTAGGGAGCTATTATATTAGGGCTTTATGTTACATAAGCATATGATTATACTTGCGAAGTTACTTTTTACGCGTAATTAAATCGCCCTGCCTATATTTAAACTAATTTCGCCATATTATGTAATTGTAAATAATACGTTGCCCTGACATATCGATGAATAGCTGATTTAAGTTAATCGTACCTGCTTTATATCGCGTTAATGCATATTAGCGGATAAGTTACATGATCTATGTATATTTAATAAGTTGTTTATATATTGTCAATTGCCTTTTTATTAAAAATTACGTTATAATCCGATTTTCATTAAATATACGTAGCCTGATAATATAAAAGGATATTATATAAATTAAGCTGGAAAAATTATTATTTATAAAATGTTAAAAACGACCTAACTGATACATGTATATTTTATAAAACAAGTTATTGTATGCATCAGTACTGTTTTGTAATTATTTGGCTATTAATTAGCATTGCAATAACATTATACTACATTAATTTACACTTTGTTTAAAATAACTGTACTGAGCTTGTGTAAAAAAATTTTAAGATTTTGTTTAATGTATACAAAATATGTATACATATTATCTTAATCTATTTAATTAAGTTTGAAGCTTATGTCGGTTGTTATATTTTGTTGAACAATAAAATATCTGACTGATATATATCTCCGAAAATTTTGACTAATAAATTATCAACCATCTTTTGGATCAATCTTGCGTAATGCCATTCTTTCCTAAATAATCACACAGCGACTGCAAAAATAATTGTTTTATTATGGTACATTAAGTTAATATGAGCTTCATTTTTTCATAATAGTTATTGACAATTATTTATTATATGAAATTTCCTTTATTTTGTTAAAAAGATTTTATTACATTATATTTTAAAACTACTTGATTCATCATAATTATATTTATTATATTTTCTATACTTATTATATCTTAAAATTATTTTAATATATAATTAATTATATATATAAGAGAAATATATTTTACTTGTCTGTACTAAATATATTTCATAAAAATTCAAATTTATTACAAATTAATTTACAAATAAATGTTTGATTAAAAACTTTTCTCTGAGATTATTTCTACATAGTATGAGTTTTATGTAACTCATATAAGCCTTAGAAAAATTTTTGGTATGCACTTGATTAAATATACTATAATAAAATATAATGTTATAATAAAATATAAAATATTGTAGATATACAAGTAATTAAAGTAATAATACTATTATTGTGGATAATGCAATTAAAATGCGTGATTATATTCAAATGGTATAAAAAGATGTATTCGTGAATGAAATTTTCTTTACTTCTTTTTGCTTTTGCCTAATGTTAATGTATGATGTTGGGGTTGCTGTGCAAACTGCGCTTTTCGTCTATTAAATTCCAGTATATCATCCTCAAGTTTTTTACGACTTTCTTCTAATTTCTTCTTTTCTTCTGTGTGGTCTTTCTTTAATTTGTCAAATTTATTGTGTAGCTAAAATAGGTAACAAAATTAACAAAATATGTAATAACAGAGATTAAATAATTTGATATATTGGTATATTTAAAAAAATGATTACCTCCTTCTCTGCCTCTTTTAATTCAGCTTCTTTTTCCTTGACTCGAGCAACAAACATCTGTCGCATTTCATCTTCCTTTTGTTGCAACTCTTGCAAATGAATGGATCTCTTTGCTTCACATGTTTGTTGGAAACTTACTGGCTTGTTATCACTATCAACATCACTGAAACCCATCTAAAAATTCATAAGCGACAATAAAAAAAAGATTATTCTCATGTATTAAAAATTTTGATGTTTTAAAGTTTTTGGCAAATAATACAACATACTTGTTCTAATCTCTTCTTTCGATAAAGTTCATAATGGCGACAGTGTGTTTTTTCGCGCATGTCTTCCATATTCGTACTTATCAGCATCTCGCGTAGTTTTACAAAGTCACAATGAGATTCGTTTTCAACTGTAATGTTTTAATATAAGAGTGTTAATATACAGACGTTTCTGATTTCTTTTTTCAAATTACAGTTATACTATAAATAAAATCTAATACTATACTTTACCTTGAACTGTACCCCATGGATATTGACGGGAACGCATCATTTTGTTGCCAACGCGAACGAAATCGGTACTGCCAACAACGGCAAATGGTACATGGGTGTTCATGGTGGTATTTATATCTGCTACAGTTTCATCATCAGTTGGAAATTGATAAATTTGTATTCCATTATTTTGTAATTCAGATATGATTTTGCTCTGAAATACAAATATTACAGATTATATCACAAATAATGGAATGAATATTGAATATAAAAATAATTTCAATGGAAATGCAACACATACCTTAAATTTCTGTAATTCAGTTTTTGATATTGTGTCCGCTTTAGCAATAATCGGAATGATATTGACTTTTGTATCCAATTTTTTCATGCATACTAGATCAATGGATTTCAAGCTAAAAGCACAATATTTATATATATTTGTATATAAGCAATCCTTATAATTTATTAATAATAAATGCAATTTGTGAAATCATTAGATACTTACCCATGACCAGTAGGACATATGAAATAAAGGCAGATGTGGATACGGCTGTCATGATAAGTTGCAAGATTACGTTTAATTTTCAATTCTTCTTGCAAGTAAGCTTCAAATTGTGCATCTATGTAATCAACAACTGCCTTGAAACTGTCCTCCTTATTGATTTGATCACCGTAACCAACAGTGTCAACAATAGTCAGCTTTAGTCTAACATTACTTTCTTGCAGCTCATAGGTATGTGCTTTAAGTTTTACTGATGGCAAATTATGAGGGCTGGGACTAGACTCAAAGCTTGTATTGAAAAGAGAATCCATAAGTGTGGATTTTCCAAGTCCAGTTTCACCTATTAACATATATAAATTATTACTAGTTAATTAATAATACATAGATCTATACTACCACTATATAGATATTAGTAAAAATAATTAAAATCATATTAAAACATTTGTCATACCAATACAGAGGATATTGAATAGAAATCCATTTTGCACTGATTTATTCACCAACTGACTGGGTAAACTGTCAAATCCAACATGTCCTGACAATTTTAGGGTACGCAGCATAGACTCCATCTAATAATTAAAATTAAATGTCATTATTGTTTTTTAGAAAGAAAGAGAAAGAAAAGGAGAAAGGAAATAACAATTGTGCTCATAAATGAACGAAATAAATGGATTGAAGGAACGTTCGAATTGATGTACAGTTATATGATGATTCTAAACAGAGCCAACACCCTTGAATTTATGACATCCAACCTTGTATGTATAGAGATCTAGATTCTGTTGTAGTGTATGTGTATATAACATTATAGATATCTCAACAAAAACGATCACGTAGGAAAATGAAACTTACAACTAATAGATGCGGATATAATTCTTTTACGAGACAGAAAGTTCTTTTAAATTGCGATAATGTATTAAATACGAAGAGGAATTTTCTAGTAAGAGACCACATGCGTCAGAGTTCGAGATGACAGCGACAGATACGCGATTCGATTATTTAACTGAAATTGCTGGGCTCATAACGTTAGCAAAAAGGAGGCTCAAAGATGAGAAAATTTTCCCAAATACCTTGGCACGGTCAATATCCTCTGTCGCCATTTTTCCCGCAAATTCGTTGCGAACACGACGCGAACAAGTCTGAATCTGGGCAGGAAGAAGCCCGAGAGCGGCCATTCCGGAGTTGTCCGTGAGACGTTTATCAAGCAGTGACGTTTGACACCGCCATCTATCTCCACTTCGGAGACCGCGCAGAATTCAATTATTAAATAATTTTATCGACCGCGATAACACGAACGCCGATGTAAACGTAGAGAAATTATCCTGATTATGTGATTCCGAGCAGTTTCTGACGTGGACGTAGATGACGTTGAGGAGAAGACGCGGGCAAAATGCCGGGCTACTTTCGACCGGGATCTCGTTCTCTAGTGCTTTTGATTGAAAAGTGACTCATAACTTGCCGCAACTTATTGGAGTACGCATGCTCCAGCTGCAGCTGCCAGACGCGTAATGTCATCGATAGGGCGTAGTATTTGTCTAGCGTCAATTAAAGCGGAGTCGGGAGTGTAAATTGGTTCGATTGATTTTGATTGCCGCGTCATGAATTCCAGCCATGATTTTCTTAGCAGCACGAGATCATTCTTTGACTAATTTGCAGTAAATTTTAAAAGACTTTTATATAATTATATTATTTCTTTCTTTTTGTATATTATTACTGTTTATATTTTATACATATTTTTTATACTTTTTGTAGAAAAATTCTATTTTTATATAGATATTAGTATATATATGATATCATATTTTTATATATTTAATTTTATATTATTTTTTATATTATACATATAAGGAGATGATAAAATGTCAATTCTAATTTTCGAACAAAGAAGACAATTAATTAATTTCAATATATTGCTAAAAAACTAATAACTATTTTCTATTACTATTACTGTAATTTTGATACTGAAATCGCTGTAAATAATTTGGTCGCATCGACGCGAATTCGTATATTCCGCCGACATGCGCGGCGACGCGTCATCGTTTAGTGACGCCGGCATGCGCGAGTGCGCGCGCGTGTGGTGTGTATGTGTGCGGCGGTGCCGCTGCCTAGGAACATTCGGGCCGGCGCGGCTGGCAGACCCCTCACAACAGTGCCCACTTTCTAACATGGCAGATCAATTTGTGTTGTATTATCATGTGACGGCGAAACGCTCCCGTTGATAGGATCGTAACCTCGTGCGAGAAGCGATCGTAGATCCCGGTTAGCTCGCGAGTGTTAACGCGCGGCGCGACGCGGTCGCGTTAAACACCGTCGCGATGGCGGACCTCAAGAGCCCGCCGTTTAGTGACATCAAGCGGCCCGAGGAGGTGGTTGCGATGGCGATGAACGACAGCCTCAAGTTCGCCGTGCTGATCGGCCTGATCGAGGTGGGACAGGTGTCGAATCGGGAGGTCGTCAACACCGTGCTTCACCTGGTAAGTTTCACTGATGATGATGATGATGATCCGGACGGAGCGGCGCCAGGATACGCACGACGTCGTCGACGTCGACCTCGACCTCGACACCGAGGCGGCTTCGCCCCAGCGCGATTCCCGCGTCGCTTCGCCGCGACCCCGATCGTCCCTCGATTTGACAGTTCAGCTGTCAAACTCTCGCCTGCGCGCGACCGCGCGACCCTCGGCGGCGACGTCGGAGCTCGCTTCTCCGAGAAGCTCCGTCTCTTGGGTTTCGATTAAAAAAACCATGGCTTTGACATATACGTTCTTTATGCCGTGTGTTTTGTTTAATACGTCGATCGCGTCAGCAGCGGACCTTGAAAGTTTATTAGCATAGCTTCACCTTTATATCGGTGATGAACAAACTTTCTTCTTCTCAATCATCTCTGCTCCGATTTTGTACTCGCGTGAAATTTACTCCGTCATTATCATAACTCTATATTTAGCTATCTGTTTTATATATTTTTAACTGACACGTCATCGTCATAGAAATTATTGCAAAAAGAGAAGTAACTCGAGGGCAAATTAGCGAAGCGTTAACTCGATGCAAACGCCGAGACGCTTTCGATCTGCGCGATGATGCATTATTCCGCCTTTGCGAAGGACCGTATTCCGTCGAAATTGCATCGCATATTTGGCCCCCAAAATATGCCGCATGATAATCGACACGTCGGTTGTCATAATGGGCAAACAGAGATGCCAGAATCGGTCGTCCGTCGTGTTCATTAAATATGGCAAGCGCGATATTCGGATACGCGTCTCCGCAACGAGAGGCAAGAACGTTACGCGTACATAATTACGCAAGCGTTAATTATCGTATTTGCAAATAGGTAGAGTGAGTCTCGAGTTTGCGAGTTAATAATACGTGTACGACACGTTTTTCCACGTTTCGCCTGTCGCGGCTCCGCGTCTCTACAACTTGTCGATCTTCTCGCGTAGGATGACATATGCCTGTCATTAAAGAAAATTCCTGAAAATTCCGAATCTCCTCGGTGCGGAGAGATCTTTTTTATCGCCGACAACGATCGCACGCGATATTGTCTCGCATTTATTTCAACGACGTTGCGCGATCACGCTTACGTGGATTTTTTTACGTGGCGTAGAACGACGTGTGTTCTCTTATCAGCGCTCGTCGGTCGAGCTCGCGCCTTCGATACTATCGAATTTTGTAATATCGAGAGATCTCGCCCGCGCGCGCGCGACCGCCAAATTATCATGATCGCGACGAGTCGCGAATTTTGATGTCACGTGACGAGAGGATCGGAACAACTTCTGGAAAGATCGGAGCACTCGTCCGCAAATATCCCGCACGTGGCGCCGATTAACGATTGGCGTCAGGTCGGCTATCTCGCTCTCTGCATTTAAAGTCACTTATACTATCATCGAAACCGCGTCGTTCGAACACGCGTTTCTTCTCCAACTTATAGACCCTCCCGTAACTTTTATACTTATATTTAACCTCGTTCGATATAGTCTCTCTTGGTAGATCGTTCGCGTGAACTGGAACACCCTCCTCTCTCTTTGAAGAAATACTTTGTATAAAATATACAAAAAAAAAATCTATAACATCCTTTTTGTCGGGGGTTCGATTTTAAAAGCGTCGCGAGATTCTCATATAGCTTCGCTGACTAAATTTAACAGTCCTCAATTTTGCGAGATCGATAAACGTCGAAGAATGTTCGGTCGCGTAATTTGTGCCATTCGCTTGCTTTGTTATAGATATTATCGTCATTGTGCATGATTGATATCAACTATTTGCAATAGGCATATTGCATAGGCATTCAAATTGCACATGTATAGATCGCAATATAGGCCGATAATAACACGCGTCAAACTTGGAATATTCGATAAATTTACTATATTATATATATATATATATATTTGCTATATACGCGTGCTCGTTACTAATATTTCTGAATTGTGCGTATTACGCACGGAATGTATGTATATTTTGCGCTCTCGTTATTTGTATTCTTGCAAATATTCATTCGTTTTCGACATTGGTTGAATATTTTATATTATCGCGCGATTTCGATTACATTGCTGTTTTTTTGTTCTCTCTTTCTCTCTCTCTTGATATTTTTGTGTATAAGCAAAAATTGATTTTCTGCGATAATACATTTGTCATCAGTTAATAGCGTCGCTAATAAAAAAAAAGTGACCGTCTTGGAAGCTAATATCGAATATACCCGTTTGATCTTGAATCGATTAACATTGTTCGCAATCACGTGATAGTATTCTTGCATAAGCCACGGTATTTAATCTTATGATTCGTGAAGAGATTGCGAATGTATAAAGTCATTACACATACAATATTTCCAATTGAAAAGTTATAAAACGTCTGTACTATGATAATCGATTATTTTATTACATTTCACGTATAAAAGTCACGTAGCTCTTTTACGATTGTTTTAAAATGACACAGTTGTTTTGCAAAATTTTATACGTTAATTTCATAATATTATTCAAGCTTTGCATGTCATAACTTTTGACTGAAAAATTTGATAATGTTGCTTTATTATATTATATGTATAACATTGTAGGAACAACTTGTAATAATTACATTTAGAGTGAATTATTTTATTAGGAAGATTAACATTTTAACTTCTCTTAAATTATTTAAAATACTCTTTCAGAATTTAGATTTTTTTAAAATTTATATAAATGTAACAATTTAAAGCTTGATATATGTTAACGATATTGATTATTGTCAATTTATTATTCTGGGTAAGTTTATTTTCGCAGTTTGCAAGATATTAACGTGGAAACATGATGTAGAAACATATCGGTGACCTTAAAACGTGATATTGTATATATAAAAATACCGTCAGGTGATTAATATTTATACGCGACCATAAATTTTTTAGATAAATATTTTATTAGCTTCTTTAATGATTCTTTAAGTTATGTTTGATTAGTTTCTTTATTATCTATTAGTTTCTTTATTATCTACTAAGACTTTAATAAGGCTTTTGATGTGACAATTATATTTAAATTTAAACGGCAGATTTAGAATCAAATGGATAATATTGCGTCGATTTCAAGAAAGAAATAATCTTCGTTGAGATTGATTATTCGTAATTAAATAAACCTCAATTCGAGATTTTTTAATAAATATCTTTTCTAAAAATAAATTTGAGAAACTTTTAGCTTTAAAGATTTATAAAAAAATCTCGCGAATTGAGATTTATTTACTTCTTGATATCAGATAAAAAAATCAGTGTCTTGTGCATGAATAATCAAGTTCAATAAAGATTATTTTTTCTTTGAAATCGATGCACTATCATTCGTATTTGGCTCTTATTTGCCGTTTAAATTTAAATGTTTTTCTATTATATTTTTGAGAATATTGATAATTAATTTATATGTGAAGCAACACATTAGAAAATGTTAATTATACATATAACAATAATATTATACATATAACAATGATATACATATACATATATCGAGTGTGAAAAGTTGAATAAAAAATGATTGTTCTATTTTTATTCCAACCAATTCTCGTTTTTCACAAAACAGCATACGTTCTGTTTTACCTAAATCTGTTTTTTTTTCTATAAGAGAGATTTGATGAGAATTTCTAATGGGCCATTGTGCCATCAATTGACGATATAGCTTCTATTGTACAATTGGAAATCGATGCAATGCGTTTACATAAGCGTTTATATATTTGACATCGATCGATATGATGAATGTCAGTGCAATAATCAGGTGCAAATTTGCGACTGCAATTCATCACCTGGCATTATTCATTCATATTAGCCCGGTTGTGTTCTACATCATTGTTCCACATCCGATCTACGAGAGTGCGCGACTTGTAGTCGTCACTTTCTACAAAATATTTTATTTATACTTATGACATAGTTTTGTGTCGCGTGCGCGTTGCTTTGACCATTGTGCAGTCGGTGTTAATCGATTTAACTGCACATATCGTCTACATGCAAGCTTATTTTCAACCTCGGTGGGGCTCGCATCGGTAGCTTCTATTTATTTCCCTCGATTTACCTTTAGCGAAACATTTTACGCACGATATTATATTTTTATGTTGTAAAACGTCGCGTGTTACATATACGCGATAAATCTTCTTTCTACTGTAAATAATGAAAGATTTTACTCTGACATCTTTTAATTATAAGATTGAAGTTATAGGGCTTAGTTATAGCTACACTCTGGAATATTTTTATAATCTTTTTTTTACTGTAAATAAATAAAGACTTTACTCTAATATTCTTTAATTATGAGAATAAAATTATATAGGGCATTATAGCTATACTTTGGAGTATTTTCATAAATTTGTGATTGTTAAGTAAAGAGAAGGAGAATAAATCTTTTCACAATATTTCAGTTATATTACATTTTAAAACTTAATATAAATATTTTTTTATTATCTTTTAATATTAGACAGAACAAGAAAGACAGAAGAGAGAGAGAGAGAGAGAGAGAGAGAAGGAGAGAAATAATTTCATAGATAAACAATGTTTTTTATTTATATTAATATTTCTAAATTTTTTAATGTTGTTTTAACGATGTTCCGTTATTAAGCAAAAAAAGAAAGAAAAATAGATTTCACGGCTCCATCAATTCCTTTAATTAATCTAGGGAGTGTGCAACGAGAGTGATAAACCGCGCAGGTCGCTTATTTGTTCAACACGCGTTTCTCGGATCTCTTAACGTCGAAGCAATGTATCATTCACGAAGGTATTAATCGTTTTACATTCGCGTCCCGCCGTAATCTTCCGCGATAATGGATTGCACAGGTTGTCGTAACGAAGTAGTCCCTCGGTCGAATAAGCGATATCCGCGATTTCACGTACCACCGATAGTCCGTTGCTAATTGATCGAACAAAAGCGTGATTTTGCAATTTCCATATAAATGGAAATGTAGATCTGGATGTAATGCAAGAGAACGAGAATACACGATCTATTGCCATTGCCTGTTTCTGCTTATATGTCGAGGCACGCGTATATATCTCTATATTTATCGATCACGGATTTCATTCATGCATGCGACTTAACTGACGTGCATGCGTTATGTTCGCGCATCGGCTGACGGAAATTGTCCAATGGGTGTAAATGGTAGAGAAAGATAGATAAAGAAAGAGAGAGAGCGTGAGTAATGTAAGTTAAATTTTCAAAATTTTATTTTACACGAAAATGCGGCCACAAACACTTTGGACGTAGACAGAAAAGAGAGCGATATTTTATTTATATAGTAAAGTGGCAAAATATAAATAAATTTATGATTTAAAGCAAAATATAAAATTAGCACAAGTCGATATAATCTTATCTTTTGTGTAATATATGTATTATCCAATAGCTTTGATAACGTAATGATTCTTGCGTCTATATATTTCAGGATCTATTTTTTTTTACACGCGGTACATAATTACATATTTGCGCGTGCAGAATCTCATTTAAAAACGATTTAAAAAAAACCACAGTATGCATATATTATATACAGTGATTAAATGAACCCTCGTGTATGTGTATGTGTGTAACTGTATCATATTTTACAAGTATAATAACACGATGTAATAACGTCATATTTTAATTAATATTGTGTGTGACATATTAAATTCCTAAAAAGGAATACTTGGACCATATCAGTTCTCATACTGTGTCAAGGTATAAAAGTATAAATATTTTATCTTAATCATATTTATTTTGGGGACTTTATCGATTGATTTTATCGAAAGCTTCGGGCATTTTGTCGAGCTTACGCACAATCTCTCCGTTTATTTGATATTATTTTCCCTCGTGCAACATGCGTGCATGCGTGATATAGAAGAGCGTTAATTGACGTGCGGTCACGAATAATGTCAATTCAAACACAATCGTCAAATGCACGCTGCGCATATAATACCATTTTGTAATGGCTGTCTGACCGCTGTATCATTAAGCTCTGTATATACACCTTCGGCCGATTCGATTCGCGCAATTTGACCAATATACTCCTACTAATCGTGCTTTTGCGGCAACGGGGATATACTTTACGTACGCGGAGCACTAATACATTTTGTGAACATTCTGACAAACCTTTAGTTAACTCGACAGGCAATGGTTATTAATTAATTCGACGGTGGGCCACGCGCTTAATTATCTCTCGCGAAATGCAATCGGCCGATATCGGTTGAAGAGCTCGATAAGAGAAACGCGATTTCGATTTCACTGTCAAAGATAATGTGATACGTTACGAGAAAAATAACATTTATTTGTTCGAAACGTTTTTTAAGCGTTTATAACGCATGGCTACTTAGAAAATAATTCCTGTTCAATTATGTAAAAGCTTTCAAGCTAATTACATATAGATCTCGTATAAATATGTCTCTCATTTTTTTTCTTTCACGTCGTTTCCCGAGCTCGATTGAAGCAAATAAAATTGTACGATATCCACAGTGACATTTACTTTCATATTTGCGGGCAGGATGTACAGTTTGCCTCCTTTCTATACGTAGGCGTGACTTTGCGTGTCACACGACTATTGATTCTCTCAAGTTTGGATCCGCCGTCGCGGATAGCATCGATTATGAAATATTATAAAAAAACACGCGCAAAACACGAAATCCGCTTATCGAAAATATTTGAAGAACGTAATGCTACGTGCTGCCGGTATCAGCAGCAGAAGCAAACAACGTAGGAACGATGCGCCTAACGAGTTGAGTTAGCTTGTAAATTAAATTTCCCTTCGTTTTCTCGTTTTATGATGCGCGTGTATTCGCTCTTCGTTCACATGAAACTCGCAGAGCGAATTCGTTTATTATAACGAATAGTACTATTACACAGTGCTACCCCCCAAAAAACCCAATATATACACATGTACATTACGTCGCGCGTTGAAGGAAAGAGAAAATACGCTTTCTCTATTATCTATATATATTTATGTATATTTTCTCGATGGACGAGTTGGCATATTTAAGCATGAAAGCGCAGTTAATTAGAGACGTCGCCAAGAAAAGCGACGCGTGCGTGCAGTCGGTGGCATGACTGGTGTTGGGAACGGCGATGACATAACTGCATCTTAACTTGATAAATTAATTGTGGTTGCGGTAACAGGTTGCATAGCGGTCGCCGGCGACGCATACGTCTATGCAGGCATTAAGCCATTATCAAATCATAAGCGTCGCGTAAGCATAGTTTGGCAATGTCCTTGTTTAGACAAGACAATACCGCCGAGATGTCAACGCGTCTATACACGCACTCGGCATCGTGAGCCTGGCTGGATATTGCCAGCCCAGTTTTCTGCATAATGGCGATAGACAATAATATGCAATGCCGCGATAAATAGCTAAGTTAATAGGACGCGCCGCGATATGAATAATGATGCAAAGTTAAAAATTGTATACCACCCTTCTTCGTATTTTTAAAAGTTTTAAAGCCAGAGTTTTATAAAGGCGCAGGGTATATTTCTTCATAATAAGTGTTATCTCTTGCTATAATTATGCATTTTCGATATGAATATTATTATACTATCTTATAGATAAAAATTGAATTCGCAGACAAAGCTTTCCTCACCTTTGATAAAAAAAGTAATAAAGAATTATTATCGAACGTGTTTTTCGTCAGAGCCATTCGCAAAGGACCTGCACGATGTGATTAATGAAAGGCATTATTTCCGTCCATTAATTTTCATCCGGCACGTGTATTTGTAAAAGCGCCATTCCAACGATCGCGTTTACCGTAGCGCGAATCATTAATTATGATTTAACGACAACCGGCCGTATATTTCAGTACGGGACGAGATATCGATAATGACTAGCTTCTATATATCGGTGCGTATCTCTTCGGAGAAAGAGACGCCGAGTGATAAGCGAAGTTGTTATCGACGTGACGGACTTAATCGCGATGATAATCTCCCGAGACCAGGCGTTGCATGTATATTATACTTATTTTCCGACTTTTTATGCAACCGTCCCGTTGGTCGAGTTGATGTCTAAAGTCTGAACGTATCATTGTTCCTACAGATTCTTTTTGCATGCATGCATGCATTTATTTGTATTTGTATATTCATCCACGCATGAATGATGAAGATTTATTTATGCAAATTAGGTACAAGGAAGAGCCTCTAATTGTCTGCATGAGATAACGAATTTGGATTAATAGTGTCTGATGTTTTTGTAAAACTCAACGACAATAATCGAAAAAAATGGATACTTTAAAAGAAGTTATTTATCATTTGCCATTAATTTGGTTTGTGCAAAAACGTTATAAATTATTAAGCATTTTTTAGTAACGCGTGTCATGTGGCCAATTAGATACGTTCTTTCTTATATACTATTAATCATACAAGAATCAGGTAATATCGAGCTTGGTTATCGATATACGTGTGAGAACTTGTACGATTAATGGTTCAAGTTATATTGACGACAATCGATTAAATCATTTTTGTTTTTGTCCTATCATTTGTAAAATATGTCATAATGTCACTTTACAGGTTTGTAAGACACACGAAGCGAAAAAAGAAAAGTGGATGGTTGCAGTTCCTCAAGGGGTTCCTTGAGACACAGAGAGAGGCTCCTTGTCCCTCGTAATTTCCGGCAACGTTCGCCGATTATGTCCTAATAATATCGAGGAGGCAGGAAAACTCCCGACGAACGAGAGATAGCGAAACGCGCGGGGATGTAAACGTCTCCTCTGCCTCTCATTGTCGAGAGCGAAAGGGGATGGCGGTAGTTAGTTGCGAAGAGATGAAAGGACTATTGAACGTTCACAGCCTCAGCTTTTCAAAGCCGAGAGGCTATTGGCATTACGCGAAACGAGATATCCAATAACTTCGTTTTTTACAATTAACGAAGCGAACGTATCAAAGGATGGCCGGTGATGCGTAAGCTTCATTGATGACGATACTCGCGAGCCAATGTTCAATAACGTGCCATTACTTGAGAACTCGATTCTGTTGTTTCAACGCTCGAAATGCGACGTTGCGTATATCTGAAAATTATATGTATGCTGTAAACGCTAACGCGCTATTACCAAACTAAAATTAGCGGTAATGCTTTTCTTATCGAAAAGACTATTTTTGGCGTACCTATATACACATTTTTTTTTTTTTTTTTTTTTTTAAGTTTTTTAGGTATTATGTTTTATTGTAAAATGTATTTTTTATTTTATGTAATATATAAATTATGCAAAATGAATAAATAATTATATTTATATTTTCTTTTGTATTTATGTAAATTGGTAACCCGAACACTTATGAAATTTCAATTTTTTGTTCTTCGATATTTTTCTAAAAAAATACGAGACAAGGAGAATGAATATTATGAACCAATCCATATGTTTGTTCGTAGGGGGAACAGATATATTCATATATTTTATTGCTGCACAGAAATATATATCTATATAATTTTTTTAAATATCTCGATAGAAATCGTCTAACAATTCATTTCGAAAAAAAATATCTATCGAAGTTTAAAGGATTTAAATATAGAAAAACTGTGACAGAAATAACCAATGCAGAGGATTTTGGCTTCGGTCCATCTGCATTTACCGTGGACCTTTCATCGTTTAGGCCAACCACTGTAAAGTTCATCCGTAGATGCATGCGCAGCGATGCATCGTTGTACAATGCGGTTTTAGTTCGAATTTTCAATAGGGAGCAATTTTTTCAAGCACTCTGAGCTTAATAGACATTTCGAGCGGATGGTCGACAAAGAACCGACTTGAAAACCTCGAAACCATTCCATTCTCGATTCTCGCAGGAATGCAAAATGTTTATTGCGAATGACGATATTTCGAGAGACAAAGACTAGATTGTGCTAATGTTGTTAGATATCGCAGAGCACTGATGCTCTTATTAAAAAAAAAAAAAAAAAATTGCATTCAATGTCATTATCGCAAAGGTAAAAGCGTTTGGCACACTTCCAGATGAACTCTCTTTCTACACGGAAACTTTTCCCCACTTGTGCGTTTGCATGAAAATTTCAAGAGTTCTTTGTCGTGTCATAATCTTTGAAAAATCGCTTTTCTTATATTATATTCGATTAATCCGGACCACTCGTTGTGCATCACAGTCTTCAAGAGAAAATGCTAATAAGATTATTCATAAAGCATTAATACTGAAAGGATTATTAAGGACCATCCTGAAGAAGTCCACTTCTTCGATACTCATCGAATCGATACAAGAGGCAAGAAACTTATCTTTTTTTCATTATTGCATGTTTTTCCAAGTAGACGGCAAAAAGCTCGTCATCATCGTGCGAGATTTTTGCAAGATAATTTTGTGACAATGTGGTTTATCGCATTTTTGGCACTGCTCATATGATGCGGAAACGGAGATCAAAGTCAATGGCGCACAACTTCGAGTGGCCATTACTTATATCCGAAAAGATGCCGTGAAAAATTGCACGTGTCCGAGCATAAAATAGGGCATGTGATACGTTGAGCACTTCTTCTCTAAGGATATTGTAAGAACACAAAGTATCTTGGATGATCATAAGGATACTTCACTCTTTAATTAAATCGTGATATCGTTTCTGATTATACACAAAAATTACTACATGAATATAATAACATGAGATTCTTTTTAAGCTGTGAAAACAATACAAGCAAAAACCATCATTATTATTTATTTTAATCAGATTTGCTTAATTATGTTGTATTTTCTTTTATCACGACATAATTTTTTTATTAAAATGCTTTATGTGCAAAATCGCTTTTATTTAATAATATTCTTCTAAAACATTGCCGTGAAAATTTTTGACATTGTATATGTCGGTGTATTTTTGCGTGCATATATTTTCTCCGCATACATATTAATATCTCGATTACGTATAACGGAATAAAAAGTTATTGCATTCCGCGCGGTTTACGTACAAATGAGAGAGAATCTATTCAAGAATGAACCGATGGAATCCACGATATGGACGCTCGGATGTCTTTATGTTTTATCTTGCCGTAATTTCTTGTCTGGCTAAATCGAGGACATTAATAATATAGCGGTATGAAAGACGCTGCGCGCGGAAGAGAAGGATCAAACACGTAGAAATGAATTGCAAGTCTTACGAATTGTGGAAATACCAGTTTAGTTTTCTCCGACCTTATTTATGGTTGGCATTTAGTTCACGCTACGAATCATCGCATTGTTGGATGTTATAGAAAATAATTGCAGACCAGGCTTACAACTACACAGATGTGCGCGCATTAGTGCATTTCCAGAAAAATATCCGCTATTATATGCGGATATTTTTTTGGAAATGCACTAATGCGCGCGCATTTGTGTAGTTGTAAGCTTAATTTTGATCCTCTTTGTCGTTTTAGAATTATTCGATAATTGGTCTTTCATATATTCAGGTTACATCTATATCATCAAAGATTGATCAATGTTGATATTTATATATATATAATAATTGATAAAACAAATGTTTTTCGGTATCGCTGACACCATTTCTTGAATATATTTGTACATGCGAGGACAATAATTTATTCAGATCATAAAGCTATATAACCTTCCATCAATTTGACGTATCCGACGTATTCAATTAATCATTTTATTGAATTTATTATAAAGCGATATATCGGTGTGCGAAAATATTTATTTGACATTCGCGCATATCCTAACGCGATATACAGATGAATTACAATACGGTGCTAAAATCTGGGCAGGGTAAAAGATTGCGGCCTCAATAATTTATAATGCTTTGCAAATTATCTAGAAGTTGTTGTTCGGAAATGGCGTTCTCGTGAATTATGGGACGGATGCATCAGGCGTCAATATTTGAAACGATAATTTACTTTTTTCGTGGTTTTTTATTATTATGGATAGAAGAAGTTATTATAAGACGCGGCTAACATCGTATATTTACGTCTTTCCGGATCAACAGACCGTAACTCTTCCAGATAGATTAATTGTTGCGGTGATGATAAAATATTTTCTGCAATCGATTTTAAGACAATAATTAATCATGGCATAATATATAAAACAATATATTTTATAGCTCTCGAAAGTAGAAGAAGAGAGAAATGGTCGGACGTAAAGAATATTCGCTTCTTCGCCCTTAAATCACAAAATGATATCCGTTATCCTGCTTCAAAAATGTCGATATTACAACAACTAAAGTATCAGTAGTACTAAAATATTGCCGACGCCGAAAGCTTTAAATCATTTCTTCCTTACTCTCGGAAAAATATCAAATAAATATTGTTCCTTGTAGGTACGGTGTAATTAGTCAGATACACACAATATCTCGATGTAACCGTCGAGAGAAAACTCGTAATCGTTTTCCGAGTGCGGAGGTCTCGACTCTTGATCTCAGGATGCGGAAGCAGCTCGACGATACGCATACTTCCGGTGGGATATACATCGCATTCTGACTGTATTGCATGTGATTGTTAATGGATGTTCAAGTTAATTTAAATTAATGATTGATGTAATAATGCTTCACTTTCACTTTATTAGTTCGTCAATGTTATAATTGCTAATAGTCGATTCGGCGTACAGATTACAACAGGACAGATTTCTTCGGTGTCGGCTTATGCCCTACCACAATTTCTCGCATTCCCCACTTTCTCGCTACTTTCGTACATATGCCCGTCACGTGTAAACGGTCCTAATCAAATCTATACATCCCGCCCACCAATTAATGTTAATTAATTTCGTCAATTGTCATCAGAAATCGGTAACTTACACAATTTGCCAATAGCTCTCTTATATGTTCCGTTTGCAGTTTTTAATGTAACTACGCGTACGTTGTTGTCCATGCCTGGATGGGTTTCTATTACCCTACCTAATTTCCAATTTAATGGCGCGGCATTGTTGTCTTGAATTAAAACAATATCGTTCACTACTATGTTTGACCTTTCACTTCTCCACTTGCTTCTACTTTGTAAGGAAGTTAAATATTCCTTACTCCATCGACTCCAAAAATCTCGCGTGATTTTTTGCACTAGCTGCCAACGATCAAGACGGTTGATCGGCACGTCACTTGTGTCAATGTCTACAAGATTAGTTAACGGTTCTCCGATAAGAAAGTGCCCTGGTGTGAGCGGCTGGAGATCTGCGGGTGTGGAAGGCAATTGGCAAATAGGGCGCGAATTTAAGCATGCCTCGATTTGAATTAACGCTGTCGATAATTCTTCAAATGTTAATAGCTTTTCACCGATGATGCGTTTCAAGTGAAATTTACAAGACTTCACGCCTGCTTCCCAAATTCCCCCCATATGAGGTGACGATGGTGGGATAAATTTCCACTCAATATTGTTAGGATTGCATATTTCCGTATTTATGTCTCGAGCTCTTTCTTTTATGAATTGTTGCATTTCGTTAATTTCATTTTTTGCACCCACAAAATTTGTCGCGTTGTCACTATAAATGCATTGTGGACAACCTCGACGACCGACAAATCGTCTGAGTGCTGCGATGAACGATGCAGAGCTCAAATCACTAACTGCCTCCAAATGTATTGCCTTTGTTGTGAAGCAAATAAATAATGATATATAGGATTTGATAGTTTTCCTACCGCAACCCTTATTAATTAAAGTTATAATTGGCCCAGCAAAATCGACTCCGGTCACCAAGAATGGACGCTTCGGAATTACGCGATCTGCGGGTAACTGTCCCATCAATTGTGATAATGCCCTTGGTTTATTCCGAAAGCAGATCACGCAATTGTGGACAGCTTTCCTCGCGACATTCTTCCCTCCAATCGTCCAATACTTTTGACGAGTGGAATATAGTAATGCTTGTGGGCCAGCATGTAGCAATCTGAGATGCTCACGTTGGAATAGCAATTTCGTGAAATTGTCCTTTGAAGGCAATAGGATAGGATGCCTTTTATTAAAAGTTATTAACGCGTTTTTGAGTCTGCCGCCCACCCTGAGAATACCCTTTTCGTCAAAAAACGGGTCCAGTGGAAGCAGTCGACTATTTGATTCAACACGTCCTCCCTTTGTTATACTTGATAATTCATTTGCAAAATGAATTTGTTGTATTGATATAATTAAAGCTCGATGAGCATTGCAAATCTCACCTATCGTCAAATAGCCACGTTTACGTTCCGTGTGATTACTCAATTTCGCGTTAAAAACAAATCGG